GAAACAAAGTTAGCGGGTTATTTTAAATTATCTTTCATAATAGCAATGACGGGTAATTTAGATGCAATGTGATGGGGGTTATTTTGAATTATGTTTCATAATAACAGATGTGTGACATATGTGAGTAATCTACATACAAAATTAGTAGGTTATATTTTAAATTATGTCTCATAATGATAGATGTGGGTAATTTAGAAACAAAGTTAGAGGGTTATTTTAAATTATCTTTCATAATAGCAATGACGGGTAATTTAGATGCAATGTGATGGGGTTATTTTGAATTATGTTTCATAATAACAGATGTGTGACATATGTGAGTAATCTACATACAAAATTAGTGGTTTATATTTTAAATTATGTCTTATAATGATAGATGTGGGTAATTTAGAAACAAAGTTTGAGGGTTATTTTAAATTATCTTTCATAATAGCAATGACGGGTAATTTAGATGCAATGTGATGGGGTTATTTTGAATTATGTTTCATAATAACAGATGTGGATAATTTATATATAAATTTAGGGGTTATTCTAAATTATCATTCATAATGGCAAAGGTGGGTAATTTTCTTTATAAATTACAATAGATCCAATGGCTATTATCGGTGATGATGATTAGAGTCTATTAAATTAAAGACTACATGTTTATGATTATTGTGAGAATTTCTAGGATTTATCTTTTTTCTTAGCGCGTCTGGTGAGAATTAACGTGGTGCATCCGTTGGAGCCTCTAATTAGTAACAGTAAGATATATATTAGTATATGTATATAATATGGTTGTTAGCTGTGGCCTAAGTGCCCAACCGAAAAGGCTGAAACAATAAAGATTAAATGGTTTGTGACTTTATGCATGGAGAAATTATTAGATGAGATCAACATCAATAGTATAATCAATCAAAATGTTAGAAGAAACTGTTCAAAATCATGTCAAGTGCCAAGTAAATACTCTCTTGGTAAAAAGAAAAATGTAAATCTCACTTCTCCAGAAGTCACACAATACTAAGTTTGACCAAATATTTATAAAAATACTCTCTCTATTCCAAATTATAGAACATTTTGCCTCGTAGCTTTTGCAATGCATCTAGATATATATTATGTCTAGATACAAAGTAAAAACTATGTATATAGAAATGTTGAAACGTCTTATAATTTAAAATAGAGGGAGTATATTTTTATTTATGACGCGTAATAAATATCATTAGATTTAGCATTAAATATTTTTTATAATAACTATATTTAAAAAAATATAAATATTGATAATTTTTTCAATAATATAGTCAAACTTTAGATTCTTTGACTTCTTGGGAAATGAGATTTATATTTTTTTGGGACCGAGGTAATATTTTTTCCATTATATTTATTTATTTTATTTATGAACATTATTGAGGAAGTGGAAGAGGCCTCTGTATTAGTCCTTGACCTAGGTCTAAAAAGCCTCAGGACCGGCCCTGAAAATACTTGGCATCCAAACAGGCCTTAGATTATTTTGTTTTCTTTAGATACATAGTTTTAATATGCACTTAGATCAACTGATATGTACATCTGTATCTACTCCGGAGCGCTGGTGTTGATGGCCTCGCTTGGGTGCCTCCGCCGGACTCACTGTGCCCAGCCTCTACAGCTTCGTCAATCCAAGGTGATTTACCCTTCCTCTCCCTCCCTCTCTCTATTTGCATGTGATGCCAGCAGTAGCAGATGTCACGAATTACTCTTCTTTATTGTGAAACATAATACTCTGTCTCGTAGGATATTTATAAGCACAATACTGTAACTGCAAGCCTATGAACACAACAGAGGAGCATATAAATTTGTATTTAGCTTCTTGACAGTGTGCTTTGTTATATTACACAGATTTCACTACTAAATGTTGCTCTATCTATTTGAGTGGTTAATTTGAATATCGGTTGTTCAGTTGTTTTATAGGCTTTGTCATAGCATATGACCCTGAGAATTTCAGCATTGTTGATTCAGAAAGTTCAGAGAAAGCTTTTAGCCTAAAAATTTCAACTTTGTCACAACATATGCTCATGATGGTTCTTTCAACCTGACAAGCTCTGATATGTTCTTTTGTTTTGTAAAACAGCTTGTCCTTTTATTAACACATGGGCTGTTCTTTTTTAGCTGATTGTTTTGATCTAGTCACTTAGTAACAAATTCTTCAGAATACCTGTAGCGTGGGAACATTTAGCATAGTATACCTTCTGTTCTTACTAGTTGCTTGCCATTTCTGAAATTTAAAGTTAGTAGCATTTGATTATATAGTTGCTATGGAAGTTGTGCTCGTCGGGGGGCCATCGTTGATGATCAGAAGGCTCTGCCAGTTACCATGAGTAGAAGGCGTCATCATCCCAGGCTATAGGCAGGTCAATGCCTCACTTCCTGGTGCGTGCAGTGCTGATCTAAGACTTTTTCTTATTTCCCTTTTCATTTCTTCGTTTGTGTGTTTGTGTCTGGTAGTAATTGGTCTTGAAATTACTAGCATTTTTTGGAAAGTAGAGAATTGTTGTTGTATATTAATTTATAAAGGGAAAGAGTTAGGCCTAGGCCAAAAGGTAAAAAAGAAACTGTACACACATCAAGTGCGCGAAAAAAAACTACAAACACGGGACAATATTTGACAAACGCTTTGCTCCTGCCATGCACGAAATCACTAGCATTTAGAGCTCGAATTTATAGGCTAATGGTTTGTAACGTTGTTCAGAATTTCAGACTCAAACATATATAGGCTACATAGCCATTATATTTGGAAAGTCAATTTTATGACACTAGATTTTCAATGTGACAAGTTAGAGTTAGATGTTTGGTTCAGAAATTGTGTTTTTGAGGTAGTGCAATTGTGCGGATCGTCACTACTTGTCTTAACAATATTTGATTCATAGTAAGTCTGTTGTTTTTGTAATGTATACTCCAGGCACAGGAAGCAGAACATCTAGGATATTCTGTTCTTTTTTGTATAGCTGACTTGAAACTTCTAAACAACCATAGAAATAATCGTTCATTTCTATGTCCAGTTCATTTATGATATATTCTGTGCACATAACTTGGTATTCTGAACCGAAAACCTTTTACATCACCCTTTGTGAAATGAAGATTTATATGAATTATTTAAGAACCCACAAACAGGGGAATGCTAGGACCATAAAAAGTTGCAAACTTGAATTGCTTTCTTTGGACTTTACTTGGACTTTGTACAACCAGCAACTATCTATATCATACTTTTGTTGTACAAACTTAAAAAATGCTGATCTATATTTTTCATTTAAATCCCTGCCAGCAACCAAGCTGTAGCATTCCTGCAATTGGTTAAGATTAGCATAGCACTTACTGATGTTTAGACAACAGTCAAGCTAGAGCCACAATGGAAGAAGGTATATAGCTTGTCAAAGTGCTCTCTGATTTACAATTTATTATTTACTCAGTTGTCAGATTGCATCCTGTTCTTTGTTGTGATATAGGGTAATTTCATAAGAAGTGTTTTTGGAGGCAATGGAGCGCTATGAAGAGGTGAGACTAAAAAAGAAGATCCTTGTTACTCAGTTTCATTGATGTTTTCCCTCCAGTAAATGAGATTTATCTGATTTGTAGTTTACTTTTCCCCTGGTTTAGGCAAGCTGCATTTTCAGATAGCTTTGCAATACAATTTACGAAATACAGAAGTCTCAAGAAAAATCAAGAAGTCTCAAGAAAAATCAAGAGGATTTGTCAATTGGCAAGGGAAAAGAAGGAAGCCCTTTATGTAGATACTTCAAAGATTTTGTTGTGCAACCAAGACATGTGAGTTGTGAGCTGCACAAGCCAATCATCTTAATTGTGTAGATACTTGGTATTTTTGTAAAATTGTACAAGTACAGATACTGAATGAAAATTGTGAGCTATGTTTAGCCAATTTTGTGTTTAATGTTTAGTGTGAGTTTGGATGGTTAATGTTCAATTGGATGATATTGTATAGTTAATGGAAGATTAATTAATTCATATTATGCCTAGTGTTATACAGTTGGTCGCTACAAACATATATCATCAGACCATTGGTCGGTATATGTTTATAATAGGCGTCAAACTATCCGTCGCTATATCTACATAATAGTGTCTGACCGTCGGTCGTTATAACTGGTCGGTCGCTATAATTCATACCGACGCCACTATCAACGACCTATGGGAAGAGTCAGTATAGATCTATAACGACTGATTATAAGTCGCAAAACCCGCTTATAAAGACATATAAGAAGACACTAAAGATGGATTTTGGTATAGTGAATCTCCTATAATTGGCTCCATGGAGGTCCCAATTGAAGAGATCAAAAAGCCAATTGTCATTGAGAATCATGCTCAATCCAGGAGCTGAAAAGTGGAGCGATGTGCTGCTACAAATAAGGGTGAAGCTGGGAGCAGCAAGCCGAAGTCCAAGAACTACCAACCAAGGTGGTGTCCCTCGGGTTTGACCAAAACTTAATAGCGTATGCTTAGCACGCTCTAAAAAAATCAAGAAAAATGCCTAGAGCTACTTGAAAGGCGGCTGATTTACAAATATTGTTCTTAGAATAAAAATGGCCGATATACATATATTGCCATGAGAACAAGAATAAAAAGTGGTTCCTCCTCATGTATTCTGGGAGCCCTGCTCAACAGGACCTAATATCATGTTCTATTTAGCTCAATTATTCAATGTGGGTGTAATAAACATAGAACATCTGAGAATGAAATTGTTCTGCTTTATTGTTTTGGCTCTGTTCGCTTCGCTGAAAAAACAAGCCGAAACACTGTTCCGGCTGATTTGTTGTGAGAGAAAAACAGTGTGCTGACTAAAAAATAAGCTAAAAAGTACGAATTATAATATAAGCGAACAGGGTGACAACACAGGAGTTAACAGAGAACACTGGTTATGGACCATTTCGACTGAAGCAGTGAACATGACAGGTGCGTGCAGTGCACTGTGCACCACCCATGCAAATTATTTTATTCTCACACGCCATAGGCGTACAACTGCGAGCAAGTTAGGCCGAGAGTTAGGGTACTGAAACAATGCCGAAGAAGCGCTTGAGCCTCTCGACCTCCGCGCGAACTATGAAGGTGAGCTTCGCCACCACGTCCGTTGGCAGGGTGTCGCCGAAGAGCGCATAGTCAGTGATCTGCAGGCCGGGGTTAGGGCTGCTGTAGGCGGCGAAGGCGATGGCGGTCGAATTGCCGATGTTGTACTGGAAGTGCAGCAACCCCTGCGGGAACACGAAGAGGTCGCCCTTGTTTAGGGTCTTGACGTAGGGTATATTGGTATCGGCGCTGATGAAGCCAGCGGAAAGTTTTCCCTCAACGATTCGAGTGGGTGTGCATGGGCACGCCCCCACCAGACGGGAAATTGACACGCGTGGCGGCGAGGCCGAGGCCATTCAGACCGGGGTACTGTTTAACGGTGGCGGAGGCTAGGCCGATGTCGAAGGGTTGGATGACCGGGCCGGGCTTGGCCAGGGCATCGGAGTAGAAGTCATTGGAGTCGACGAGGGCCTTGGGCTTGCACGGGTAGCCGGACAGCGTGTCGGGACGGGCCATGTCGGCGACGCAGAAGTCCTGGGCCAGAGCGAGGGAGGAGATGGGCAGGATCAGGGAGAGCAAGGGCACTAGCACGAGGTGGACCACGGCGGCCTTGGGCGCCATGGTTACCTGCCGGGCTAGCTTGCCGCGCACTGCGTCCTTGTAGGTCGTGGCGAGTTCAGAGCTTGTTGTGTCTGGATATGCATTCGTCAGGCCTTTTTATATAGGCGAGTTTCATGTATAGTATCACGTATGTCCTCACAAGCATTAAAGGTATATATACGTATAGTGAGTTTGACATATCACGAGTCGCATTTGTTCATGCACGTACATGCATGAAGTTAACAGCCTGCTACGGTTGAATGATACGTGACTGCAGGGTCAGCACAGGGCGTCGAAAAGTATGCATACCATACGTCTTCCCATAATAGGTAGCCAACGTACTACTAGTAGGGTTACGCGAGACGCAAAGTCAAATACATGCCCCCACCGGACTCGAGGAAGAAGAAGACGACGGTGCTAGGGTTCTGGCGAGGAGCTCGCTGGCATCAGAGAGGAGGAGCTCGCCGGTGTTAAGGAGACCTCCATCTCTGGCAGCCCTAGAAGAAGTTTTATTGGGGGCGGCGGTCTTCACACGACAGTGGTGGTGGGTTGAGGGGCGACGAGCGAGGCTGCGGGGGCGCCGCCGAGCGGGTGGCAAGGGCAACCGGTTGGACGGGGCTATCGGCGGGGGCATCGCGGTGGAGCTCGTCAGCACCATGCCTTGGGATTAGGGTAGGTAGGGTCGAGGAGCGGGGGTGGGACGAGGACAAGGCTTGCACGTCTTGCCCTTTTTGCCAAAACATCAGCTATCTTATTTTTTTGTCTATCAATCTTGATCACAGAATAGCTTTTTGCTTGCTTGATGTCCTGCGTTTCAGCAATAATAGGTCGTAGCGACCAATGTCCATGATGGGTACGTGGCGATCCAGCGAGCACGGCGGAAGCCACCACTTGATTGCCAGTTAACAAAGCTGCATTCCGAAGGTCGAGTGCAGCAGCTAGCTTGGCACCAAAAAGGAGGGCGTGAGCTTCAGCCTCCAGGGGTTCCAAGACCTGCGCAATGACTACCAAAAAAAAAAAAAAAAAAAGAAGCAAGGGAAATACTTCTAGCAGGTTGAGTGAGGATGATAACTCCAATTCCAGTTTGATTGCCTGTAACTAGATTTTGAGAGTCTACAGAAGCGTCACAAAAAAAATTTAGGGCCGTCATGAACCTGCAAGGTAGCAAACTGAGAAGCCTGTGCAACAGTAGGAGTTGTAGTAGGATGCGGAAGAAGCTGAGACATAGTATCATCTTGAAATGCAATATTGTAAGCCCCATCAATGGCCTTTGCCTCATGCAGCACTCTTTCAATTGACTAGTTTAAGTTATTAAACCTGTGGTCATTACGAGCTTTCCATAGACACCACATGATGGACAATATTATACCTGTAGTAGCTTGAGATGGTCCTTGCTGCAATATGGCAGCAACCTGAGAGTGAAGTCCATGGCTAGCCTGGGGTAAGGCATCAGCTCTAAGGCCAATAGGTGAAGCGAACCATACCGCCCGAGCGAAGCTGCAATCAAAGAAAAGATGTTTGTCGTCTCCCACAAAGGGAGCAGTTCTCATCAATCGTCGAAATAATCTTGTGGATCCTGCAAGCTATCCCAAGGACGAGTCTGAGAAGCTTCCACGCGAACGTTTTCACACGAGGCTGAATTGTTTTATCTGCCCAAACGTGTTTAAGAATCTGCAACACCTGCATAGGAATGTTAGATGGTGGGCTTCTTGCTGCCTCTTCGATCGCTAGCATTTTGTAGGCGCTCTTTGTCGAGCATATGCCATTAGAGACTGGCTTCCAACACAAAATATCAGGCTCATCGCCATCACGAGAGGAATCTGCAAAATGCTAGCTCTTTGGTCAACATACTTTGCAGGTTCTTTTGCAGATTCCTCTCGTGATGGACGATGAGCCTGATATTTTGTGTTGGAAGCCAGTCTCTAATGGCATATGCTCGACAAAGAGCGCCTACAAAATGCTAGCGATCGAAGAGGCAGCAAGAAGCCCACCATCTAACATTCCTATGTAGGTGTTGCAGATTCTTAAACACGTTTGGACAGATAAAACAATTCAGCCTCGTGTGAAAACGTTCGCGTGGAAGCTTCTCAGACTCGTCCTTGGGATAGCTTGCAGGATCCACAAGATTATTTCGACGATTGATGAGAACTGCTCCCTTTGTGGGAGGCCTGAAGACGACAAACATCTTTTCTTCTTATCTGGGATTTGGTAATCAGATTGTTCAAGGTTTAAGCGATCATGCATCTCCTTCCAAATGGGACACCATGGTTGAGACCAAATAGAGGTATTGCCATTAACTATTTGGATTGTGACGTTTTGCTCAAGGTGGCGTCTAATGCTTAGGATAGAAGACCAGAAAGTAGATTTCAGGAAATAGGAAGGAGCAGTCCAAAGAGAGCCATATGGAAAATATTTTGCTTTAATGATTTTAGCCACAGTTGAACTAGGATCATGGACTAGCCTCCATGCTGTATTGATGAGCATACCTTTGTTGACTAATTCCAATTTTCTGATTCCCAAACCACCTTCATTTTTTGGCTTGCAAATTGTCTCCCATGATCTGTAGTGGATGGGCTTGCTTTGTTGCTCTTTCTGTACCCCTTGCCACCAGAAGGTCCTGATAATTGCTGTGAGCTTGGCTAAAAAATTCTTAGAGAACAAGATATTAGCCATAAAATAAATTGGAATAGAAGCAAAAACTGATTGTATTAAAGTTAAATGCCCAGCTTGGCTCAAAGTGTTTGCTTTAGTGAGAGTGAGCCTAGATTTAAATTTTTGATAAATGAGATCATAGACTTTATTTTTGTCTCTATGGCTAATCAGCAGAGGATGTTCAAGGTGCATAGTATTGTGGTTGAAATTAGCAACAGGAAAAACAGCCCTGATCTGAGCTCTAACGGTGTGACTCACCTTTTTGCTAAAAAGAATAGATGATTTGGACCAGTTCGGAGTTTGACCTGACATAGCACAAAAGTTCGGAAGGATACTATTTATTTCATGTATTTCCTGCAAATCAGCCTTGCCACAAATGATGAGATCATCAGCAAAGAGAACAGAGTGGATAGGGGGGCATCCTGGTCCTAATGTGACACCTGTAAGATTCGCATTGTCCAATGCTTCCTGTAATCTCAAAGACAACTCATTTATAGCAATGACAAACAAGTATGGTGACAGTGGGCAACCCTGCCTAATTCCTCTTGTCGCCTTGAAATTCCCATATGTTTCTCCATTGATATTGACTGAAAAGCAAGCGGAAGAGATGCATGCATGCACTAGTTTGATGAAGTGACCATGGTACCCTTTACGTCGCAAAGCATTAAGAATAAAGGACCATTCGATTCTATCAAAAGCTTTTGCTAAATCAATTTTTAACATAAAAGCACGCTGGTTAAAGGATTTGAGATTAAAAGAATGCACAATTTCTTGAGCAATAATAATGTTGTCAGTAATTCTCCTACACTGAATGAAGGCATGCTGGGATTGGTGGATATAATCTGGGAGCTCTTCTTTCAGCCTATTTGCTAAAGATTTTGCAATGAGCCTGTAAGCAACATTTGTGAGGCTGATGGGTCTAAAGCCAGTGACCAGGTTTGCATGGATCTTTTTAGGAACAAGAACAATTTCAGTGGCATTAAGCGAAGTACATAAATTACCATTAACGTAGAAGTCAGTGATCAATTTATGAACATCATGCTTGATCCAAGGCCAGGCAGCCCTGTAGAAAGCAACATTGAATCTATCTGGGCTAGGAGCAGCATTTAGCCTCATGCTCTTTAAAATCTACAGGCACTCATCAACACTTGGCACTGAGTTAGTGAAATCATTAGTCACTGTGCCCTCGTAATTGAAATTAAAGTCCAACCTTGGTATTGAAGAAGTAAAAAGATTAGTGAAATAAGATATGAATTCATTTGCAATATCCGCAGGGTTGGACACCATGTTGTTTTGTCCTTTACTAATGAAAAGAATTATATTTTGTTTGTCGTCTCCTGGTATAAGCCTGCTGGAAGAACTTGGTGTTTCTGTCACTCTCAGTAGCCCAATGCTTCTTAGATAATTGCCTGTAATGCTCAGTGATTTTGTCTGAGATCAAATTATGTTGTTGGATCAAAGTTTCCTCTTTATCATGGTCTATAAGATGAACTGGGGCTTGCTGCAATATAGAAGGCTCGTTTTCATTATCAGAAAGTTGTTGGTTGAGAGGGTTTTTCTTCCTTACCCACTTCTTAATAGTGCAGGCCATTTCCCTAGTACGGACGTGAAAAGGCTTACCGTTTGCCTGGTTCCATGCTTGACGAGCTGTCTCATGAAAATCATTTGCAGTCAACCACCAATTCTGAAATTTAAATCTCCTTTTTGGCTTGGCGCGATTTGGATTCATGATAGCTAAAATAGGAGTATGATCGCTGTATAACATAGGCAAGTGGTACACAACAGTGAAAGGAAACACTCTACACCACTCTGCATCACCACAACATCTATCCAAGCGTTCAAAAGTTGGATTAGTAGTGAAACGCTTATTTGTCCAAGTATATGCAGGGCCACTAAAACCAAGATCCATCAAACCACATTGCTTAATAAGAGAACAAAAGTTATCAATTCGAGCAAGAGGAGGACCAGGTCCCCATTTTTCATTTGGCTGCATTATATTATTAAGATCTCCCACGCATAAAGTTGGAATCCCTTGATTTTGCATAATAAAAGTGAAGACATCACTCCATATGGAATTAGTATGTTGATGATGGGGATCACCATACATACAGATAAGATTAAAGCTACTAGAATTAGATTTATGTGCAACAGAAGCCAAAACATAATAGTGGCAAGACGAGACAATGTTTGCATCCACCTCATCATTCCACATGACCCAAAGACCACCCGATAGACCAAGAGCAGGAACGACAAAACTATTGCACATATGGAAGTGCTTCGTTAAATCATCAGCACTAATACTTGAATTTCTAGTCTCAGATATGAAAGTTACCTGAGCATGAGTTGAAGATATGAGACGAGCAAGATGCTGCATCTTAAGACTGCGGAGGTCCTGAACATCGCCAATTCCAGCTAAGTAAACTCATGATTTCGGCTCACCACCGATGTGAGTAAGGAAGCTTATTATGGTGGCGCAAGCTCTGGAATAGAGTCTGCCGGGGCACAGGACGGACGAACGAGGCCAGAGCAGAAGCACAAGGCTCGCCTTAGTCTGTGCGCTGGCCTGTAGTACGCCCACTCCCTAGCTCCGCCAATCCACCAGGTCTACAGCGCCGCCACTTCAGTAGCTGTAGGAATCTCAACCTGGGGTCGAGACTCTGGAATCAGCCGCAAGGGGCCAGAGTCGAAGAAGGCAACGAGCCACGAGACGAAAACAGCGAGCTGGAACAGGGAAATCAGCGGTAGCTTATGTGGGAGATGAAGGAGTCGAGGCTGGGGAGAGGACACCGACGACGGGAAAACGGCAGCGGCGGCGCTAGGGTTTGCCTCCGCCATCCCTGTTTTCTGTCGAGGCGACCAAGTCCGAGTCCGTGACTGATGTATGGAGTTTCATGAACTAGGGATGAATCAGATGGAGGAGAAGAAGAAGGATTCAATTAGGTGATGGATCTTACTGAGGGATCGGAGGAATACGGACGGGAGGAGATGGGTACTGTAGAAGGGGAACGGCAAAGCCGAAGCTGCATCGGTCCCAGCACGCGCTGCTGTGGCACGGAGACACGGATGCAACTGGCGTGGCGGCGAGGCAGCGGCGGATGCAGCTAGTGGAGCGGTGGTGCGCCAGCCAGCAGACTTGATTTGTAGCTGACTAGATCTCATTCCTAGGCGAGGGAGAGGTGGGAAAAGCAGTGGAGGGGATTGGGCTGGAGGTGGGGGAAGGCAGCGGAGGGGAGGGGAGGAAAGCCGGCAGTCCGCCCAAAGTCCGTACGCCGTCAGCGTCGCTCCGACATTGGCAACACAAACACATGGATCATCACGCTCTTTTCTTCCCGAAGTCCAGGGATGGACGACGAGACCCGCCGTCCTGTAGTTAGGAGAGGGAGGGGTCGAGGAGGCCGGGGCGGCGAGACGGCGGGAGCTGCCGGCCGCCGGTGGTGGAGGGCGGGGGAGGGCGGGGGAGGAAGGGCGCGGCGAGGAAGAAGAAGACCGCGGGGGAGGAAGGATCGCCCGGGGAGGCAGGGTCGCGCGCTCCCTCAGTGCGTGACGTGTCGCGCTATTTATCTTGGTCCTACGCGAAAGTATATATCCCCACGAATTTATTAGGCCCTCCACAGCGTGGGGCTTGAGTGGTGCCGGAACCAGAGAGAGATGATCGAAGAGTCACTCCGCACGCTGCACAGTGGTGCCAGTTCTAGAAAAATAAGGAGCGGCGCAACCACTTGCGCCGATGCCTGCTATGTGAAAAGCTGGTAAAAGTACTGTTCCGGTTTCACTTCT